AGAGCGTGGGAGCCCAGCAGGTCTGAATCAAAAGCCTTCAGGCTGCCTGACTGTGACCTCCCAGTCTTTATTGATCCCTCCAGGAAGTCTCTCTATTATTTTGATTTGTTTGAATCACATTTCTTAGAAGCAAACAGCATGAGCAGGCCAGCAACCAATTCCAACACAGGCCTGCAGTGAGCCTTCTTGCTGAAATCTGGAAACAGAAGAAATCACAGCACAGTACTGTTTACCAGTATTGACATGCTTATTTTTTTACTGTCTAAATCTTAAGTCTTTCAATATGCACCTAAAAGAAGTTGTATAGTCCTAAAGATTACAAAAGAATACTGCTTGAAGGGGGTAGTAAGGGAAAGTGGGATTTAAAAAAAAAAGAACTAAAGGAATTATGAGGGTGTTTTTCTTCTATGAACATCAGAAAGATTTCTTAATAATTCTGTTATATAATTATAATATTTACTATTACTGTTCAGTTTTTATTCTACTATCAAGATTACTGTTTTATAAGTTACTTTTTTTATAAATACCTGGTAATGGACATTTGAAAATGTTAACTCTATGTTTGGTAAAATGATGACCAGTATTATTACTTTTAACTGACCCTCCCCCCTAAAAAAAAAATCCAGTGAAATAAAGACAATTCCAAATAAGTTTAAATGGTATTTTACATAACAAAATAAATTCCTTATTTGAAACATAAAGAGTATTAAAATTTTTTAAATTAGTTTCTCCCTGTGTTATTTTCCTGGGGCTGCCACAACAAATTGCCATAAGTGTAGTGGCTTAAAACCATAGAAAGGGTTCAGGATGTAGACCTGTGGTAGAACGTGTGCTTAGCATGCATGAAGCCCCGTGTTCAATCTCCACAATGGAGTGGGGGGTGGGAAGACAGAAATTTATTCTCTTATAATTTTGGAAACCAGAGATTAAAAGATTAAGTAGCCTTCAGGAGACTCTGGAAGAATATTTATTCCATGTCTCTCCTGGCTTCTTGTGACTGCTGGCTTATCTTCCTTAACTTGTGATAGCCATTCAATTTCTGTGTTAGTCTTCATGTGACCTTTTTTTTTGTCTCAAATCTTCTCCTTTCTTCTAAAAGAACATACATTATTGTATTTAAGGTATGCTACATCCTATAGGATCTCATGTTGAGATCCTTAACCATATCTGCAAAGACCCCCCTTCTATAAACAAGGTCACATTTACAAGTACTGGCATTAGGGCTTTGACTACGTCTTTTGGTGGGACACAATTCAACCTATAATTCCAAACTCTACTACACACGTTGGGCAGCTGTGTGAGAACACTGGTGGGAAGCACCACCACTTTATTGCGTGGCTGGATGCCTGTGTACTAGTTCCAGACATTCAGTCCCAGCTTCCTGTCTGTGGCTCACTCCCTCTGCTCATTTGGGCAGTATGGCCAAGGAGATACACACTGAGTCTCCTGACAGGCCAAGTTGCCAGTCCTCTCCCATTGTCCTCAATAAGACAAATCTGAGAAACGACCAGGGATGGCTGTGCTTTCCCAAAGTTCCTTTAATGCCCTTTCGACAAAGTCAACCAGAGTAATAGACCATGCACATATTTAGGTCACTGTTATATTTTTGTTTGCCATAGCATTTAATTTTGTATTAGATTTTTCCTACTTTCAGTAAGTTTTTGAAAAGTCATTATAAAGATGTTCTTCTTAGAGCATGGTTTTAATTTAAGTGCATTAGAACTGCATAAATAACTCGTCAATGACAAGGTGAATAAAAAAAGTGGGAGAATTTTAGTTACTCAGAGCTATTTCTGAAGAAAGATTTACAATTTAACAGGCTCATTAGATATATGGGGTTACACTTAGGAAGAACAGACAGCAGGACTTTTTACCCTGTACCTTTCCTAAACAACTACTTTTAAGTTCTTGTGTCTTTCTGCCTTGTAGCACTCCGAGCACATTTTAAAACATCCCATCTATATTCATATGACCTTCATAAAATGTCAGACTTTGGTTCCTTATATTAAATTTTTGTTTTCCATCCCCGGGACATAATTAGAAAAGTTTCTTTTTAGGATGAAAATGTAATGATTGAGGAAACTTCTCTTGCAAATTTTTTAGGAGTCCAGCCTTGTCAAAAGGGCATGCCAGGTCATCTCTTCCAAAACACAAATTGCTATATTTTGCCTTTTTTACCAAAATTTCTGATGGACCCTTTGGCTTATGGTGGTGACATATTCTCATCAAGGAGTGTGTTCCAGCCTATATAGTGGATGAGATCAAAGGCTCTCTGCTTTGAGTGGGGCATGAATCACGAAAGGGATCTACAGGAAATTGGGGCCCCAGCACAAACAGCCTTTCCACTTAGGCTGTATGAGTGGCAAACATGACCCTGGAGGTATTAGTGACAGGAAAAGATGCAGTATGGAAATATACAAAAGTCCTGTGGGAGCATCACAGCACAGATCCCTGAGGTTCCAGAGCAAGGGCATACCCTCTGCAACAGAGATTCATATGCTTTTGGAGAAAGAGTTTCTGATATATTACCAGGCCTGGTAGAGACAGAATTCTTGGCTGTGGGACTCCATGAGTTCTGGAACTTTCCATTACGAGCTGAGTTCTATCAGCCCCACAGAGCTATAAACTCAGGTAGGTCCAGCAGCAGTCCATCCTAAGATTGAACTGTGCATCTGGAACCAAGCCTGATCAGACTAGAAGTATTAAGGTAACCTCATGAACAAGCAAACCAGATTCCATGTCATCACAGCAGTATTAGCATCTATCCTTCAAGTCATGCCAAGACAATATAGGGGTCCCCTGTAACCAAGTGAAGGAGAAGGAAAAGCCTGAACATGTTTCATTGGTCAATTAGCTCAGTATTGGAGGCAAGCTGAAAATGGGCAGTGGTTTCATTATATTTGGGTGAGAGGGGGCCTGAGAACTGGCAAGGGAAATCATCTGAACAGACAAGGCTCAGATTGGGGTGCCTGACACCCATTTTGTGTGGAGGGAGCAGTAGCTTCAGACTACTTGAGTCTACTTGAACAGCAAAGTAGTCTAAATGACTTGGCCAGTGGATGTACCCCGTCTTTGAATGGAAGAGACAGATGAATGGAGGGGCCACAGTGGCAGAGACATAAGTCATACCTGTCTCTTCATGATTCCACTACTGATGCCGCTCAAACCCAGCCCATCCGCAATAGAGAACATCACATTCCCAGCACCGCTCCTTTTCAAGGAGGTGATTTTTAGTAGTATTTTCCTTACAATGGAAGTCAGTATGCACCTAGCACATGTGGGAACATGTTTATCATTTCCTTGAAAAATTCTATGAATTTTAGTACCTTCTGTGCCTAATTTTAGAATCTGCAGTATACTAAGTAGTGCAGTGGTGTGTCATTCCTGCCTTTGGCCTTAGGCCTACTACATTGAGTGGGCATAAACTTACCAATTGCACACATTAATGTTAAAAGTCATAATGTTTGCCTCATTTAGGAAAGGAAAACCAATGAACAAATTTTGGCATCTTTACCAACCATAACTGGGACATTTAATTAATAGCGTAAGAAAAATTTCTTAGTCTTATGTTTGGTTAACAAAACTAGTTGCTTTGGAGCTGGGGGAGATGGGTAAAGAAGAGTAAATATGGTCGATGTACTTTATATACTTTTATGAAAATAAAATGATCAAACCTGTTGAAATCATTTTAAGTAGAGGGAGAGGAGGCTGAGGGAGAATGACAGTGGGGATGAACCCTAGCCACGGTACATTACAAGCATATATGGAAATGTCACAATGACATTTATTGAATAACTAATATATGCTAATTAAAATGTTTAAGAAACCAAAAACCCTAGTTGCTCCATAAATGGTTGTTGAATGATTATTAATAAAATTATAGACCTGCGCAATTGCTTTTATGGATATTAGAATTGGGAAATTTAACATTTTAATGGGAATTATAAAACCTTCTATCCCCTTTCCTGTCTTGAAAGAATTTTATAACTTCTGTGTTTCTTAAGAACCGTGTCAATATATGGATGTCAAGCATGGCCTAGAATGAACAAGAATGTCCTCAGGCTAATCGTATGTACAAGCAGGAGATTGTCCATCAACTTAAAATTTAGGGTCTTGTGTTCTGTAGCTGATGTGTTTGCTGTCATATTCCTTGTCTCAAGTTTTGATTTCTTACAGACATCAGAGTGTTACAGTCTAGGTTGAAAAGAACAGAAACCAGTCCAAAGTAAGAATGACTCACTAAGAAGATATTGTTCTCATGGCAATGATGACTCTCTAAGTTTATAAGAAATTGATCTAGTACCTGGAAAACCATCAGTAACAAGACTGTGTGTGTAACATAATCTCTTTCCTCTACTTTTTATAGTCTTTGGCTTAAAATGGTTGCTCTAACCCTCATTAAACTTAAATTTTTACTTTAAATGACAAATATCATCTATAATGACTCTAACTTTTTAATTCAAGTTATCAAGAAGGAGAATATAAAATTAGAAAACAGCAGATTGCCTTTTTCTGAATGACCTGTGGTTAGAGAAAGACAGAGACCTGGGGCATAAATCCTGCGGCATAAATGGAGGTGCTCAGCTTACCTGTTTGAGTGTGGCAGATTCTAGAAGAGGAAGTGGCACCTAGCTATGATCCTAAATCAGTGTTGAAAGGATACATCTAGGTCTGTGAAAAACTACCATTTCCATCCTGACTTACCTACACTTAAGAGAAAATTGGCCACATTAGCTACTAGTAATGGAAAATCATAAGGATGAGTTCCTCATTTTCTCTCCTGATTTTTCTCATTGTTCTTTCTGTCCAGAATTGTATTAAAAATACCTTCCAATACTATTTCAGGGAGCACCAACACATATATGCATATAAAACTGTTGTTTTTTGCAGTTGTAGGGATTGAATCCAGGTCTTCCTGCATTGTAGACAAGCCCTTGACCACTAAGCTACATTCCTAGCCTGAAGCTACTTTTCTTTGAGATCAATTTATCTTAGACAGAATGGTGGACCACCTCGAAGGAACATGGAAGTCCATTTCTTGTGAAAATTTTGAAAAATATATGAAGGAACTGGGTGAGCCATGTTTATTTGCATATCATATGTAGTATTAAAGGGAGTTTTGGTAGTATATAACTTGTTCTGTATGAACTGAGATCAATCTTGGACTCTAACTTTTCACATAGGAAAAATAAAAATTGACTCAACACCAAGATTCAGTTCTGTGCAAAACTAGATTGCAATCGACATAATCCTTCATGCAATTTACCTTGGATTTATACAAACAAAATATGCATCTACTATTTACTAAATAGCAAATGATTTTAATAAACGATTTAAAATAAAAGCCACAGTTATTTGTTAATGATTATTTTATAAACATTTGCTTTAATCTTTAATAGAGGATTTTCAAAATAGATTTTTTTCCAGTTTCTGGTGGCTACTGATATTCCTTGGTGTGTGGCTACAATACTCCAATCTTTGTTCCCATTTTCACTCTGCCTGTTCTTCTGTAGTCTAATATCCCTCTTCCTTTCTCTTATAAGGAAACTTCTGATTACATTTAGGGTCTGTCTGATAATTTAGAATAACCTCCTTATCTCAGGATCCTCAAGTTAGGTACATCTACCAAGTCCCTTTTATATGTAAGATAGCATTCACAGGTTCCATGAATTAGGATGTGAATATTTTTGAGAGCCATTACCCAGCCTATTTTTTTTTCTTTTATTATTCATATGTGCATACAAGGCTTGGGTCATTTCTCCCCCCCTGCCCCCACCCCCTCCCTTACCACCCACTCCGCCCCCTCCCTCTCCCCCCATCCCCTCAATACCCAGCAGAAACTATTTTGCCCTTATTTCTAATTTTACCCAGCCTATTACATGTGGTGATTCTGTTTTCCAGCATGCGTCCATGAACCACATTACAGTATTAGCATTTCCCCAATGTATCTTCTCCTAGAGATTGTCCTCTGATACACCGTTTCTCCCTTCCTCCCTCCATCCTTCCCCCACTCCCTCCCTCCTTCCCTTCCTTCCTCCTCCTCCTCCTTCTATCAGGGCTGGCCTTGACTTATTCCTCCTGCTTCTGCCTCCCCAGTAGTTGGGATTACAGAAGTGCTCCCAAACACCTGGCAAAATTCTATTTTTATTGAAATGTTCCTACATGCACAGCACAAAGTTGTATGTGCAGGATGTTCATTGTAGAATTATTTGTAGTGACAGAAATGGAAACTAACTGATCAGCAATGGCTGACAGAGAAAATAAATTTTGATATATACAAACTATAAAATATGTTGTTATGAAAAAAATATATCTATATGTACTGTCATCAAAAATCTTCCAGACTTAGAGATGAGGGGAAAAAGAAAGTTAAACAACACTAGATATAATATAGGATTTGTTTTTAAAACCCTATATATAGTAGAGACAGACAACATTGTGATGTGTTTAATACCACTGGAAATGGTTTGGTGGCATTAGAATGGTTAAAATAGTAAATTTGTGTTATGTGTATTTTACCACAATAAAGATACAAAATAGATGGGGAAAAAAACCTCCAAAGACCTTCTCCTTAGCAAAGAATTATTCAAATAACGCGAGTCATTGGAGCCAACAATAGATTGAGCTATTTGTCCATTTGTGTGATTTTCAGGAATAGGAAAAGCCAGCAGGAAACTGGGCTGTTTGGCAAAACCCACTGTGACCATAAGTTCAAATGGAGATGTGATTACCATCAAAACCAAAAGCCTCTTTAAAAATAATGAGATCTCCTTTAAGCTGGGAGAAGAATTTGAAGAAACCACTCCAGGTGGCCATAAAACCAAGGTGAGGCCTACAACAGTGTTTTAGATAATTCTCATAAGGATGTTAACTGAAAATCATTCTTCAGGAATGGTGGTGGCACTTGTCTGCAATCCCAGCACTTGGGGGAACAGATGCGTGCCTGAAAATGCATGTTGAACAATGATTCTGAGCAAATACATTTTGAGAATCTTATCTATAGGATTAGTATTTAATCCTCTTAGAAATAAATTTCTCCCTTACCATTTTGCAGTTTGCATTTTGCATATAATTACAATGAATAAATTTTGTGTTAGCTGGTATAGGCAAGGTTATAAACCTGTAAGAAGTGAGTCAGGGACACTCAATGGCTTAAAACAATGGGGATTTATTTCTAAATCACTGTATATATGCAGTTTTGGGTGGAGATGAGGAAGTTTGTGTATATGTAGGAGTATGGAATGATTTCTGTCCTTCTTAATCTCTTAGCAACTCAGGTCAAAGTAAGTTCAACTATCTTGTAACTGCACCATTTGGAACTTGGGGTCGCCTTGGTCAACAAAACAAAGAGACTGAAATTTTTATTGTCTCAGCATGAAAGTGATATACACAGCTTTTATTCACATCCCATGGCTTCAATTAGAATATATAATTACTTACACTACATATTTTATTGATTGTTTATTGTCTCTTTCCCCACATCAGAATGTAAGCACCTCAAAGATGGTATTTCTCATCTGTTTCCCAGAACCTAGTGATTGGTGTGTAACAGTTGATGAATAAATACTTGTTTGAATGGATGAATTTAAGAGAGGATTGTTAGTCTCCAGGAAGGGTAATATCCCAAAAAAAGAAACAATTGTACCACTGTAACAGATAGATACTAAAAAAATATGGGATTTCAAATTCTTATAAATACAAAATGGAAGAACTTTGACCTGAAATAATTAATAAAGATGTCACACTAAATTAAAAATAAAGAAACTAGTATAATAAAAAAAAAACTGGAAAACGTTGGGGTGAGAAAGGAAAAGGATCTTTTCTTCCTTAAGATCTTACAATGGGAGTTTGAATTAGCCTCATGTATATTTCTACAGTTAAAACTTAATTGTGATTCTTTATGCAAAAAAATAGTATCTTGCCTGTACAGTAAAAGATAAAAAAGAAAGTCTCACTTACTCATCAAGTTAATTTTTTTACTCTTAAAAGTATTTTTCCCTTAGATGAATCAGCCAATAAATTACTGTTGAAAGAGACTTAAATGGGATTATAATTCCTGTCCTAAAACCACCTGGGAATATCACAACAACTGAAAAGAATTTGTCACCTGGTAAATTTAGCGTTCAAATGTGACCTTCTCTGAATTTGGTTCTGTCTGTTTTTCAGAGTATGGTTACCTTAGATAATGACTCTTTGGTTCAAGTTCAAGATTGGAATGGCAAGGAAACCACCATACGGAGAAAGCTGGTAGATGGGCAAATGGTAGTGGTGAGTGAGCTATTTTTATTTCCTCACCTACTGCAACACCTAATAGAAAACTACTCAAATAATGTGTTCTGCAACCAAGGAAAATGAATGTCACTTTTCTGTTTTCTTTGACTTTAGAGAATTGAGAGAAAACATTGACAGATAAATATATAATCATAAACGCTATAAAATGTATATGGATTGAGAAATTTAAAAACTAAAGAGAATTCTGTAGCTTAATTCTTCCACTCATGCATGAACCAAGCAAGTATGCATTTGTACAATAAAGATTTCATCAGGGGCTGAGGGTTGTGGCCGATTCTCCACCCTATAACAGGATTAACTTCTCACTGTTTTTCCAAATCAATATCAAACAAAAGCATGAAAAGAAAGTTTAAAGTAGGAGTGGAAAGCTGAAATGCTTTCTTTTCATGTAGAGATGTGTTAGCACAGGTAAGAGCCAGCACATGTTCCTACCATACCCCCATGTTTTCATGAGTTGCTCACCCAGTCCTCACAGTAGTCCTCTGAGGCAAGATTCATAGCTCATTTAACAGATGAGGAAACTGAGATTCACACACTGGCTTACCTAAAGATAGAAAGCTAGAAAATTGTGGTAGTGTTGGCATTAAAACCCAGTTGGCTTAATTCCAAAGTTTATCCTCTTTCAAGCTCCTTCTGCTCTTAAGATGGCTTCTCAGGTCATCTTTCTCACTTTTGCAGAGTGGAGGGAAGTGTACCAATGATTCTTCTCCTCCCAAATACCACCAACACCAAATGAACAAAATGTAATTTTTGACATAATATAAAATAGTTCAAAGGAAAGATGAAAAATCTGTGGAGGTAAACAAAAGTCTATCCTCATTTCTTTTTTTTTTTAAATGATAACTATTGGTATTTTATTGGGACAAAAAATTGCATAATTAACAGTAAAACCAAACTTTCATCACTTTTGGATATCAAATAAGTATTTTCCACATTCATTTTATATAGAAATCATCAAAGTATGATATACAAAAGACACAAGTACTTTTGAAAGATTTTTAAAATACTGAACTCAAAGATTGAATGATGTCCTTCTTTTCTTTCTTTCTTTTTTTTGTTCACTTATTCACATATGCATACATTGTTTGGGTCATTTCTCCACCCTGCCCCCTTCCCCACCCTTCCCCCCTCCCCCACTCAGTTCCAGGCAGGTCCCATTCTGCCCTTATCATCAATTTTGTTGAAGAAAAGACATAAGCATAATAAGGAAGACAAAGTGTTTTTGCTAGTTGAGTTGAGGATAGCTATACAGAAAGATTCCTACTATTGCTTTCATGTACCCATGTGTTACGACCCATGTTGATTCAACTCTAACTGATCTTTACATTGGTTCCTGATCCCCTGCTCATGATAACCTGTCATTTTAAGGTTTCTGTATTAGTTCTTCTGGAGTGGGGACACCAAACGCTCTCATGTTTTGGGTTTTCTACCTATTCCTATATCTCCTGTATGTGCTCTCCCCTTGTCTTGTGATCCAAGTCCAACCACATTGCTGCACTTGCCCTAGATCTAAAGTCCACATATGAGGGAGAACATATGATTTTTGGTTTTTTGAGTCTGGCTGACCTCGCTCAGAATGATGTTCTCCAGTTCCATCCATTTACTTGAGAATAATAAGATTTCATTCTTCTTCATGGCTGAGTAAAACTCCATTGCAATAAGTACCACATTTTCTTAATCCATTCATCAGTAGTGGGGCATCTTGATTGTTTCCATAACTTGGCTATTGTGAATAGCGCTGCAATAAACATGGGTGTGCAGGTGCCTCTGGAGTAACCTGTGCTGCATTCCTTTGGGTATATCCCCAGGAGTGAGATTGCTGGATCATATGGCAGGTCTATGTTTAGATTTTTAAGAAGTCTCCAAATTTTTTTCCAGAGTGGTTGCACCAGCTTGCATTCCCACCAGCAGTGGATTAGGGTTCCTTTTTTCCCACATCCTCACCAACACAAGTTGTTGTTGGTGTTTTTGATGATGGCTATTCTAATGGGGGTGAGGTGGAATCTTAGTGTGGTTTTGATTTGCATTTCCTTTATGGCCAGAGATGGTGAGCATTTTTTCATGTGCTTTTTGGCCATTTGAATTTCTTCTTTTGAAAAAGTTCTGTTAGTACTAGAATTTCTAGCCAGAGCAATTAGGCAAGAAGAAGAAATAAAAGGAATACAAATAGGTAAAGAAACTGTCAAAGTATCCTTATTTGCAGATGATATGATCCTATACCTTAAATACCCAAAAAATCTACCCAAAAACTCTTAGACACCATAAACAGCTACAGTAAGGTGGCAGGATACAAAATTAGCCTACAAAAATCATTAGCTTTTCTATACACAACAATGAACAAACTGAGAAGGAATACATGGAAACAATTCCATTTACAATAGCCTCAAAAACAAATCAGATACCTAGGAGTAAATTTAACAAAGGATGTGAATGAACTCTACAAAGAGAATTACAAACTTCTGAAGAAAGAGATGGGAAGACTACAGAGGATGGAAAGTTCTCCTGTGCTCACGGATCGGTAGAATCAACATAGTAAAAATGGCTATACTACCAAAAGCAATCTACGTGTTTAATGCAATTCTCATCAAAATCCCAATGACTTTCATCACAGAGATTGAAAAATCTACCCTAACATTCATTTGGAAACACAAGAGATCGCAAATAGCCAAGGCAATACTCAGCAAAAAGAGCAATGCTGGAGGTATCACAATACCTGACTTCAAGCTATATTACAAAGCAATAGCAATAAAAACAGCATGGTACTGGCACAAAAACAGACATGAAGACCAGTGGAACAGAATAGAGAACCTGGATATGAATCCACACAACTATACCCACCTCATTTTTGACAAAGGTGCCAAAAATATATGATGGAGAAAAGACAGCCTCTTCAACAAATGTTGCTGGGAAAAGTGGTTACCCATCTGCAAGAAACTGAAACTAGATCCATGTCTATCACCCTGTACTAGTATCAACTCAAAATGGATCAAGGACCTTGACATCAGACCTGAAACTCAAGTTTCTACAGGAAGGAGCAGGAAACACCCTGGAACAAATAAGTATAGGCAAAGACTTCCTCAATAGAACCCCAGCAGCCCAGCAACTAAGAGAAAGGATGAATAAATGGGACTTCATAAAATTAAAAAGCTTCTGCACAAGGAAAGAAATAGTCTCTAACCTGAAAAGACCACTCACAGAGTGGGAGAAAATATTTGCCAGTTATATGTCAGACAACGGACTGGTAACCAGAACATACAGGAAACTTAAGAAACTAAACTCTCCTAAAATCAATGAACCAATAAAGAAATGGGCAGTTATCCTCATTTCTTAATATAGAAATATTTTTACTTTCTACAATAAAGAGTACATTTTATTCTTTCTAATGTTTGAAGGGGAGATTAAGAATGATTGACTTTAGTGCTTCTTATAATGACTTTAGCCAATAAAAATATAGATTAGTAAATAGCTCAATAAGATATCAATAAGAAGAAGGCATGGCTCAGAATCGAAGGGTATGGATTTCCACCTCTGTCATCCATTAGTTATGTGACATTCACTGAGTCATTTATCTTCCCAAGAGTTAGATTCCTTCAGGATGGAGAGAGTGCCTTTATAGAAAGTTTCTGAATTAAATATCATCATGTACCCATATATCAGTGTTCTGAAATCCATAAAATACTAGATTGATGTTAGTATTATTATTTGAAAACTGTAGAGTATGTAATAAAATAGGAAAATACTTCAATGTAGGCATTTAAAAATATTTCAATAAAAACTTTGCATTCCAAATTGTATTCCTTGCTTTTTTCATATAGATGTAGATATATTATATATACACTATTTATGTTATAGACATGGCAAATTGTGTCTATCTGTATAATTTATATAGGTCTCTTTACAAGAAATGTTAAATATGATATTACTTGGTTTATATTTTTCTCGGTGTCAGTTTTATCAATGGTACTGAAATATTTCATCCTTTCTGTCTTCTAGGAAAGTTCGGTGAAAAATGTTATCTGCACACGGACCTATGAGAGATTATAAACAAACTCAGGCTCAAGGTCTTGGCACTCTTGAACTGTGATGTCATCTGCAGAGGTTGTTTGAATAAACTTCGAAGTAAAATATTATCACTTGTAATAAGAGAGAGCCTTTATTTGTACAACTATCAGCAATTGTGGTTGCCCTGTTAATTATACTTATCTGGTGCCGTAGCCTGGCATTGACAGTATGGAAACCAGGATGATACATTCTGTTCAGTGCAGGGTCAGAATTTTATAGTCAGCACTTTGTACTGATTTCTGTTCTCATTAGGCATATTGTGTCCATCCTTCAACTTGACTTTCACCATACTGAGAAAATAATGTAGCTTTTTTTTTTTTTTTAGGTATTGGGGCTTGTACTTAGGGCCTCACACTTGCTAGGCAGGCACTCTACCACTTGAGCCTCTCCATCACCCCTTTTTTGTGTTACGTGTTCTCAAGATAGGGTCTTGTGAACTCTTTGCACAGTCTGGCTTTGAATTGTGATCCTCTCGATCTTTGCTTCCTGAGCAGCCAGGACTGTAGGTGTGAGCCACTGGCATCCGGCTCAATAACTTTAACTTTTAGGATGTAGTGTTCCTCACAGATTACACCAGAGTTTTATATGAAAGAAATATGTTTAGAACTAAGGTGATACCCTAATATAAAACCAAACTGCTATAACAGACATCTCCATAACAACCACCATCACTGAAAGCCACTGCAATGGAGTATATCTGTATTATTTGCAGTCTTAGGCCTGGATGAAAGTTTAGAAATCCTGTGGATTTGGTCACCTCATTCTGTGGATGGGGAAACAGGCCCTAATCAATTAACTATAGACCTCAGAATCACTCTATCACTCACATGGCTTCAGGAAGAACTGCAATCAGAGCCTGATTAATAACCTCACAGCCACCACGAAGGGCTATTTAAGTTGGAGGAGTTAGGTAAACTCAGGTGCACGTCGTACAGCCATGCATCAATGGTGGCACTACTTCAAGCTTTCTTTTGCCTTAAACTGCACGGCAGGATACTATAGCTTAGATCTGGCAAGGACAATGTGTTTGTCTAGTTGAATTTTGGCCTGTCCTGTTGCTGCTTGTTTATTTAAAATGGTATGCAAGAGATCTTAGTGTTCTGGTAAAAGGGAGAAAGACCTTTGTCCCCTGGGATACGTGAACTGGACAGAAGGAAGTTCCAGGAGAGGCTGAGGGAAGTATTTGCTGGAGGCCCTGCCTGTGGCTGTGGATGTAAGCTTTGCTGCAGGGCCTTTCCTGCAGCACAGGTAACAGTTTGCTGCACAGAGACAGAAGGGTACATTCTCTTCCTCAGAATGGAGCCCAGAACTGCTCTGACACCTCTAGGGTCAGAGGCCACGGGACCTTCAGGTGTCTTTTTGGTGTCTTGCCTGCTATGGTAATGGAGACAGACTTACATACAGCAGGACCCAGTCTGGGAGGCCATGTAGCAAAGGGATAGTTCTTGGATGTCATGAGAACACAGGAGGAACATCATTGACAGTTCATGGAATACCTGGAGGGCAGGGGCAGGGTAGACTTGTCAAGGATTGGAGCTCTGCGTGAGCCTATGCAGCCAAGAGTCTGGATATTGATAAAATGTGATTTTGTCAACAACCTGGTAAAGTCTGAACACACCTGGATACTCAACACTCACAAACACACACAAAATACACACACACACACAATCTAACATACTGAAGGTTTTCAAGAGAGAGAAGCAGCATGCCCACCTTCTTCCCACTTCCTTTACCCAGTTGAGAAATCATTAAAACCGCCACTCCCTGCAGTAGATGGTATGGTTGGGCAAGTGAACTAAAGACACACCACTGCCGCAATGTGACGTCGTGGTGCAGGATTTGTTGCACATCTACCATGTACCAGGCCCTGCATGAAACTAGTGCTAGAAGAAGCAACTCAAGTTTGGTGTCCTTGATGGTCTCAGTAGAAGAGTGCTATACTGAAAAATGTGCTAGTCAGCTTTCTATCACTACAAAAAATAAATACCTGACATCATCAGCTTAGAAACAGAAAAGGTTTATTTTGGCTCACAGTTTTGGCGGCTCCAATCCCTGATCAGTTGATCCTGTTACTTTGGGCCTGCAGTGTGGCAGTGCAGAATCATGGTGGAGTAAAACTGCTCACTTCATGACCAGGAAGCAAAAGAGAGGAAGAAAGAGCCTTCCTCCAGTGAACTGCCTTCCACTAGGCCTACCAGCCTCCTAAAGGTTCTACCACCTTCCAGTAGCACCACAGGCTGGGTACTAAGCCTTCAACATATGGGCATTTTTGGAGAATTTGAAATCCAAACTACAGCATAGACTGTCTTTTGAGTACTTATTAAGTGAAAAGACACTGTGTTTAACATTTTGTATACATAACTTTATCTCTGGACTATGAGAAATCAAAGATTTACCTTAGCATTTACAGAGAAAATTTATGTTAAAAATAAGTTGGAGTACTGTTATATGCTATAAATTTAAGAGAGTTGCATATGGTCACAGTGTAGGGGTGTCATGTATGTAAACTTAGCACTAAGCAGGAGTCTGAGGATCATAGAGTAGAATTCCTCATTTCACAAGCTAGAGAACCTCCCCTCCAGGAAGAAGGTGACAAGGTCTGGTTTATGGTCACCCAGTTTTGTCTGATCACTGTTATGTTACATAGATTTGCAAATGCTATAAACTATACCTAATCCTTGTGGACAAAAATCAAAGGAAAACTGAAGTTACAATTCTAGACAGATTTGATCAGAATTTGTTGTTGTTTGTTTTTAACTCATTTATTTTTCAGGCAGGATCTTGTTATGTTGCTTATCTGGTTCTGATTGCCTAGATTAAGCAATCCTCCTGTCTCAACCTCCTGAGTATCTGGGACCATAGGTGTGCACCACCTTGTCCAGAATTATTGATGAGATATAACATTTAATGAAATAAAAATATCAAATCTAGGCCTAAGCTAGGTACAAAAATGACTCTGGCTGACAGAAAGTAATTCATTTAAGTTTTATGGCAAAAGAACTATACCTTCCTTACTTCAGGATATGACTACTTCTTTGCACAATGCCATGACTTAATTTTGCCTGTTAGTAGTTTTCATTTTTTCAACAAATTAATGGACCTCTCTTGTCAAACAAATTGCATGCAGAGCCCTAATGTGTAAAGGAAATCAATTCAAAACCTCATGCGTCATCTCATCTGCCTTTCCCATCTTCAAGGAAGGCTCCCAAGAATTTATCTTTAAATGATCTTTCTGTTCACATTCCGTGTGCAGATAGTCCTAGTTTTCTGTTAGTTATTTCCCTTCCTTTTACACTAAACATTATCATAATCATTATCAGGAGTTATTTATTAGCAACTCAAAGAAAGATGCAGATGGACATGGAAAGAAAGGTAGAAAAAGATACAATTATTATAAAACTCATGATCCAGTAATGAGACAGAAATCCCATCAGTTATTTCAAGTGAAAGAAATTTTCACCTTTCTAAAAAAGCTTTATTGAGATACAGTTTATATACAATGAAGTTCACCTTGCAAAGTGAACAGCTCAATGGTATACTTAGCATATTTATAGAGCTGTGTAACCACAATCTAATTTTAGAGAATTTCTTATTATTTCCCAAAGAAATCTTATATCACTAGCAATCATGAGACTTATTGTTTGCTTGATTTTGAGTAGTTGTGCTTGTAGTGACCCTTGAATACCAAACACAAGTTTGAGTATGTGGAAGATAGAAGCCAGGCATGGTGACACACACCAATAATCCCAGCATCAGGGAGGCAGAGCCACCTCTTCTTGATTCCCAGCACTTAACCTCTGTATAAAGGGAAGAGCTTTGCCCTCCCAATCTTCCTCACATTAGCATCCATAATTTACTCTCTTAAAGAATAATGTCACAAAAATGAAAGATTTGACATTACTGAAGTGAGCTTATATTAATGTTACGTTGCATATACAAATGCGATCCAAAGCAATTTTGGGACTTGTAGTCATAAAGTGCCCTAAAGATTGGGTTTGCCTTCATGTTGTAAATGACTAGACTACTGAACAAAATGTATGAAGCAGCTATTTTTATATGTTGGAGAACAGGAAAGGCCTTAAGAAAGGAGGAGTGATAGAAAAGAGCCGCGACAATCATCCCAGCTTTCTGCCTGGGGCACATCCTCAGTAACAGTGTGGGGACTGGGTCACCAAGACTACAGTGCCCTTACTGAACTGAGGAGAGATTTGGAAGGTGGAGAGTTTAAGACAGTTGGAAGATATGGGCCAGGGTTCTGGAAAAAAGAAAGTCTACACCAAATAGAACTCTAAAAAATGTCTGTAATAAGCATACCCTTTATTCTGGACAAATCCTTAGCTTCGCATGCATAGAGTGAAACTTGAGTGAGGCCAGGAAAAGAATGGCCAGACGGCTGGCAACTGATAACTTCCCAGACCTCAGATAAGGCTGGAGTTGCCTAAGTTGAGACCAGTCAGGGTAGAGAGTCGTGGTACCAAAGAGACCTCAGAAGGGTCTTGTTTCGGTATTAGGGATAAACTATTCCTAGAGAAAAGGCTGTGCTAAACTCTTCTTAACAAAACTTAAAATCAAACTTTGTAAAGATTATGCTGGTCTTTGAGTAAATTTCTGGAAGAACAAAGACCAATGCTGTTTAAACAAAGACAACAAAAATTAAGGCACTCCATAATATTACATAATGTCCATGTATTCAAAGTTGTTATACATGACAAAAGGCAGGAAGATAGGAGCCATAATCAGAAAAAAATATATCGATTGAAACAGATCCAGGCAAGATAGGGATTATGGAATTAGCATAAATATAGCATAGTTTGAGCAAATAAATATGCTCAAATACTGAAGGATTTAATAAATCAGAACTTAATGAGATAAATGGAAGATAAAACTTATAACATTAAAAATACAATGTCCATCTGGGTGCTGGTGGCTCACACCTATAATCTTAGTTGCTTGAGAGCTCACATCAGGAGGATCAAGGTTAA